AGCAGAACAAAATGAGTTTCTGTATCTATACAGGATCTAGAAACCACATGGAAGTATTAAAATAATGATCAGATTCAGATTTATTTTATTTGCCATTTGGAGTAAACATACATTGGAATACAACTGCAAAAGTCCCCAGTGTACACCAGGCAAGTACATTAATAAACAAGGTTAAAAGTACAGAAATAAAACTTACCAAAAAAGTGCAGGAAACATTTGTCACTTTGAAATGAAAAGTGCAAGACCAAGTGCTCTGTTTAAACTGATGACAGCTTGTGGAAACCAGATGTCATATCATTTTGTATCGTTATTTATGTTGCTCAAGAAATGCACTTGTATGACTGTAACTGTGGCATCAACATTTCTAATCTTGACACTAGTTCCTGCTGATTTTTGAGTCAATGCATGAGCAGCACTAATGACGACAACAAACTATGACTTCGACCTTATGACTATAGAATTTTAGATTTCAGGAAAGTCATCCGCCCTCAAACCAAATTGCTGCGTAGATACTGGGGCGTCGGCTGCAGGGAAAGTCAGACTGTTAAAATAGCTGTACACAGGTGGACCTGACATTGCATCTCTGCTGAAGTGGTGGTTTGGAGCTCAGATGAAGCTCATAGGCCATGACCAACAGTGTGTCAGAGTGTCCTCGCACAGTGGGATGACAGATGGCCCCTACAGCGCCGCCCTGCTGGCTCCCCTCTCTGTGATGGATGTGCGATGGAGAAGAGGGCAGGCTCTTTGGATTTCATTTGCTCACTGCTGTTCACTTGCTTCTATTGATCCAGGGATGTGCCGCTGATAGGTGCAAAGCAGGTGTGCGCGAGACGGATGGGGCTAGCATTTTAGCGCTTTATTTTAATTGATGATTCATGCCCCTAAAGAACACTGGCAAACAACCAGATATCTTTCAAGAACTTTATCTAAAAGCATTGAGATTACTGATCATGAGATAAGCAGCAGTGGCACCTCGCAGCAGCTGATAAATGGCTCCACATTAGACTACCATCAGTGCTATTGAGCCAACATGTCTGCCGGTACAATGCGGTCGCACACACGGCAAAGGCAAATTTAAGGTGCACAATGCCACCTGCTTGCCTGTATGGAGATGTTATTGCTTGTCTGAAAAGTTTAAACATATGGCATTAAGCATGTGATGCCACTTTACCAAGATGCCACTAGGTTTTATTCCAGCGATAAAATCCTGGGGAGAGATTACTGCTTCTATTACTGCTCAACTGAGGACCAAATCAGGCAATGTAAAAACATGTCTAATGGAGCGTCAGAAACTCTAGATATTGATGATTTTTACAGTACCAAAATGTATCATAAATCTGAAGGTATAGCAAAGAAGAAGCAAGAACAAGAATGCTGTTACATTTATGTTTTTTGCTGTAAAATTACTGCACAATGGTTTCCCCAAGATACATTGGTATTGCAGATAAAATGAAATGTCAATGTGCTATATTTCCTTTGTAATAGTTGTAGTAATACATCTTTAACGGGCTGCAAAACCAATATTTTCCCATTTGAAAAAAATACATAACCAGCCAGTCGTCACCTAATTACAAATCCAGTATTTTAACTAGACTAAATCTGTGTTCAGACCGCCGATGCATGGACACACCTTCAGTAAGTATCAGCTGCATGAGTTTAGTCATGCATCAAATTATATATATAATATATATATATATATATATATTCTTAGAAATTGTAAAACTACTAGAGATGCATTTTGAATATAATATTTCAGGATATTCTCAAGCAAAAATTGAGAACATATTTTTAGTTTGTGTGTGTGTGTTTGTGTTGACAGCAGGGTAACTGATCACACAGGCAGTTCACAGGTGCTCTGAGCGGCGCACGATTTATTGTCCCCGTCCCGTCTCGACACAATGGGCTTTTGGGACGAAGGGGCGGAGCTAAATCACAGCTTTCTGACACTGGATGAATAACAGGCCAGTGTGCGCTGACCCCCGCTTTTTGTCCAGTGTGATGTATGAAAAGTATTAGTGTTTATCACAACTGGACGGCAGGACTTCAGATCAATATTGGAATTCATTTTGATGTCGGTGGTGAAAACAAATGTGCTTGGTTTCCCTACTATCTTCCCTTCTGATTTCAGCAACATTTTTTTTTTATGTTCATAGAAAAGAAGATGATTTTCTGGCTGAACAGCGTGTGTCTGATGCTGTTTTTGATGAGCAGGTTAATAATGAAAAAACTCTGTATGTGAAGGGAACTTTCATGACACGTATGTACTTCCCATGTATTAGATTAGAGTTAAAGGTGCAGTATGCTACCTTTTGTGTGATAAATCTGGGTTTTCATGGTTTTGGCTTTCGTCAGCAGAGAAAACCTTGCAAACAATGATCCTATTGCCTCCTAGAGACCGACCACTGATATCACACTGACCACTCATAAAGCCACTGGGTCACTCTATGGTCAAATATGAAAAAATACCAAATTTGGTCCACAAGTTGCATGAAAAAACTCTATTTCCTCATAGTCTATACAAAGCATGTACATAAGCAAGTCTGTTTGTGTAAGTATTCTCCTTAATTCATTTCTCCGCTGACCCCCTTTCAGTAATTTACTTGTTTTGTTCACCAATTCTCTTCATGTCATTAGTACTTGATGAAATATTTGCTAAAATGTTGATCGATAACTCGCATGAACAAAGCCATGTGACAACGTCTTTTCTTGACGTCTGCCGGACTGTGTACATGGATGTGTGAAGCCTTATTTTCTCAGGGTTTTTAATGATATTGAGATTTCTAGATTTTCAAACCCATATTATAACAACATACAGCTACAGTAGAAACATGCTAAGTCTGAAATCTTTAATGTATGTAGGTTTAAAGACACTGCTTTTCTTTGGTTAGTCATTACCAACACAATACACAATTTCAGATTGCTTTCCTTACTTGATTAAAACATAATTTTGTTTTTGTTTGGTAGCTTCTGTCTCATGTCAAATCCAATCCCAATTTTCCACATTGGCATTCTCTCAGTAATTGAATTTGGGTCCAAAAGTACACTGTGAAATCCATTTCCATAATTCTTTAATCAAAGTATCGATCTCCTTGTTGGCTCTGAGTTGAACAGAAGGAGCTGTGGAGGTTGCCAGATATTGATGGAATCCCCCAAGTTAAGCCCCACTTGTCCCTAATGAGCCCTGGATAGACCGACACCATGGTCGCACACATACATGGAGCTCTGTGATGTGTTTATCTTCAGTTTGCAGCTCAGGGCCACAAAAGGGAACGCGACCAGGGATTTCATATTCACTATTAGACTGAGCTAAATTACAGTGTCAGCAATTAGTCTGAAAAGTCTCATTGAAATTCTCCTAAGCTTTTACTGGATGGAAGGCAACCATGTTAGATGTATAAATATGTAAAGTCAAGAATCATTTGTGCATTTATGTTAATACTGGTTCCACATGTGAAATTTGAACATCTATTTCAAAGCAGAAATTGCAAATGTAATTGTAATTCTAACTCTACCCAAAAATGACTTGACCGGATGAAGGTAAGTGTAATTCTGAAAGATCGCAGTAAACGAGTTGTAGGCTACAGGAGATGACTAGTAAGTGCATTTTTTTCACAATACAAACATGTCAGTGTCATGAAATACATTAAAAAAGATTATGCAGTCATACAGTACAGGGAGCCATCGGGTTTCCATGTGAAACTGTAGCGTTTGAGCCACTGGAACAGCCTCTCACCAGGACAGGAAATAACCACCGGACCAGAAGTTGCAGATTGCACAAAAGATAACTTATTTATTTGGGCAGCATCTCCCCATGCACACAACCGGAACACAACAGGAACACCCCAAGCCAAATGAAAGCATCCCCTTTTATACAGTGGCCCAAACTAAGACCTCCACCCACCCAGGGACACAACCATGTAGGCCTGTACTATTTACAATATTTATGACTACTTACATTTGTAATGTATGCAGATATGTTATAATAATTTATAATAATATACAATTAGTGGTGGTGTTATTTCACGGGAGTGGTGTGTGAATAATGTTTAAATAATGTTTAGTCCAAATGAAACACCCTTCTCTTGGAGGATCATGGTGGAGCCCAGCTGATTGCTCAGTTGGGTGCACCTGGCATGCACTGGGATGGGCGCGCCTCCAGCCCAGCACCTCCACCAATCACCTTCCAAGAAAAGAGACGGGACAAGTTAGGGACAGGGCAAAAATAAACAAAGTTAAATATTTCAAAATAAAACAGGAAGGATACACCTGTGGGTGAGGAGTGGGGACTACTCCTTCACATTTCCTCCCCCTTCGGAAGACACAACCTCCTGGCCGCGGCTGCACAGTCTCACGGTCTACCCCAGGCCCTCCTTTTGCCATTCTTTGTGACCCTCCAATGCGCTGCTCCTGGACATTCGTTCAAGCCTGAAGATCTTTGGCCCACGCCTGGCGGATAGAAAGTTCTCCACCAACTCTGCTGCTTCACGCCCAGAGGTGGGATTGCGCTCCTTCACCCAGACCCTCAGCTCTGGTGATAGTGAACGGTAGAACTGTTCCAAGACTAGGGCTTCACCAAGCTGCTCCTTAGTCTTCTTCTCCGGCTGCATCCACTTCAAGTACAAGTCTTTGAGGCGATTATAAAACTCTCTTGGCGTTTCTCCCGCCTGCAGGTCTGGCTCACGGAAGCGCTGGCGATAGACATCTTCATTTATCTCGTACTTCATCAGAATGGCCTCCTTCACCTTCTTGTAGATGCAGGATTCCTCGCAATCCATGGCCACATAGGCTGCCCGGGCCCTTCCAGTCAGATATGGGACAAGCCTCACTGCCCACTCGACCCCTGGCCATTGATATGCGGTCGCTAGGCGTTCAAAAGTGGTGAGATATTGCTCAACGTCATCACTGTCCTCCAGCCTTGGAATCACTGACTGGGCCCAGCCTCTCCCCGAATGCTCCCGTAGCGTGGGAGATTGGGGCTCCACTTCTTCCTGTTGTTGTACATGGGGGTGTTGAGGACCACGCCTCGCAACTTCGGTCAGGCCCTCTCTGAGTCTGTGAACCTGTACCTCCATCTCCTGCCATCGTTCCTCCTGCTTCTGCGTTTCTTCATTCCAACGCTTACTCAGGTCAGACTGGAACGTAAGACATTTTCGCAACATGCAAACTAGGGTTTCGGAGTCTGCACCCATAAGTGTCTCTGCCTTGGCGGGCTCTCCTCCAGCAGCTCCGCCCCCTTCGGAATCACCATCTGGGGTGATTTCCGGTTCTGCGGGTTTTGGTACCTTTTTCGGTCCCATCCTCGTCCTGTGAGTCTCAGCAGATTGGCACGACGATCCCACTTCTGACACCAAGTGTAGCGTTTGAGCCACTGGAACAGCCTCTCACCAGGACAGGAAATAACCACCGGACCAGAAGTTGCAGATTGCACAAAAGATAACTTATTTATTTGGGCAGCATCTCCCCATGCACACAACCGGAACACAACAGGAACACCCCAAGCCAAATGAAAGCATCCCCTTTTATACAGTGGCCCAAACTAAGACCTCCACCCACCCAGGGACACAACCATGTAGGCCTGTACTATTTACAATATTTATGACTACTTACATTTGTAATGTATGCAGATATGTTATAATAATAATTTATAATAATATACAATTAGTGGTGGTGTTATTTCACGGGAGTGGTGTGTGAATAATGTTTAAATAATGTTTAGTCCAAATGAAACACCCTTCTCTTGGAGGATCATGGTGGAGCCCAGCTGATTGCTCAGTTGGGTGCACCTGGCATGCACTGGGATGGGCGCGCCTCCAGCCCAGCACCTCCACCAATCACCTTCCAAGAAAAGAGACGGGACAAGTTAGGGACAGGGCAAAAATAAACAAAGTTAAATATTTCAAAATAAAACAGGAAGGATACACCTGTGGGTGAGGAGTGGGGACTACTCCTTCACAGAAACTCTTCTGTGTTCTTAAAATGCATTGGTTCTAACTTATTTAAAAATTATAGCTGCAGCTTACATTCCTCTGTATCAATAATAACATTTACATTTTCACATTTTGTTTCTCCTTTTATGTATTTTTCTCTTTACTTTCCACCTCATAAAGTGTGCAGTTATAGGTTGTTATTTACAAGGACGTAGGTACGGAATAAATCAATAGAGATTTTTATTCTTGACTGAATATTTAATGAAATCCACAAGATCTATATCGTACCATTTTACAGCCTTTAAATGCCAAAGAAAATACAGCACTTGTATCTTGGGTTCATTCTGTAGTTTGTGTGGTTGTAATCAGTGTGTTTTAGTGCGTCGCTGTGCGTTGTGTCTCTTCCATCACATGGGAGCATCTAGGATTAGATAAAAAACATGATTCATGATTTCTTAGATAATCGACCAAAACAAAAGTGGAGTAGATCTTAGAGAGAGATCATAGAGAAGACTTGTAACACACTGAGTTGTTTCATTTCATTCTGCAGTCATTATAGAATTATCTGAGTCATAAAACCTCCTCTCAGCATGTTTGAGTCTATGAAAGGTTAAAAACTATTAATGGATTACTAAATCAGAATTCAATAATGGATTGTTTGCCATCAGTTGATTAACTTGTTTGAGCCTGAGTGCAGACGTGAGAAAATGTGTCGAATCCATAGACCGTATAAGAGTGCTGATGTCACCCACTGCTCCTGACGTAAGCCTTATAGCGGCATCAGGATGGGTCAAATGCAGAGGATTAATTGCTCTGCGGGGATCAATAAAGTTCCCCTTTTTTCCTTTACTTTTAGTGTTTGTTGCAGATGCAGGACTGAAGCTGTTGATGACTTTTGATAAAGCCGGGTTGGTGCTTCCCATCCTAAAGCTCCGTGTTGCACCATGTTACCAAAAACCAGGTCAACTTTCTGTTCTCAATAAAAAACTATTTTTGTTAAAGAATGTTAACGAAGAGCCTTTGCAACATTTAGAGAAATGTTGACTCAATAACCTGTCAAAACAACAGACCTTTTTGCAATGTACATCTAAATAAATATCTATCTATCCATCTAGCTATATCCATGCATCTATCCATCTAATTCAGATTCAGATTCATTTATTTGCCATTTGGGGTTAAACCACATTGGAAAAACTGTGCAAGACTACCCCAGTGTGCACCAATTAATTACTAATTACAACATTCTTTCACATACAGTAATAATATGGATAAACGGATAAAGTCTATGTATCTTTAAGTTAAGAAAACATCAAGAGGTGAAGAGAAGGAGGCAGCTGTGAGTGTTTACATGGGATACTCCTTATCTTTGATTTAATTGAGAGAAGTCTTCAGAGGGCAAGGTAAGCCCACCTGTTCCCCTCGTCGCTGTCTGTGTCTTAGAAGCAAAATCCTGTCTTTTCCCAAACGAAAGCAGGTAAAACGTCAGGAAAGCGGCTGCAAAAGCCATGGCGATGACAACAGGGAAGAGGCCATTAATATTTATGGGGCTCTTGTTCTTTCAAAACGGCAGATGGTGCGACTTGGAGACATCATCAGTGCTGAACCTGGGGTTAGAGGGCTTGGAGGTTTGCGGGTTTGGGGTGCGGGAACCCAGAGAAACTCACCTGGTCCACCATAATGAGTCACATGTTACTGTATTTACTGTGCCTTTTGATATAGGCTTTTATCAGGATACACCATTATCATTGTTTTTATTATAATTATTAATATTGTTTGTATTATTATTATGTAAAGACCTTCAACTTGAAGCTTGGGTATCTTAACTTTCAAATTGCAAAAGTTACAATAAAGTTTGGCTCTATGACTGGTTGCATCACCCTCACTAAGCCAATCAGCCCAGAGTATCAAATAGTGACCCCCAGAGAGTAAGTAAAATATAACATGTTTAATAATGTCCTTTTATTTAACCATTCTGAACCACGAGATTCAGAATGTCTTTTACAAGGAGTTCTGGCCGGAGGGAAAACCGGAGCATCAGGAGGAAACGTAACACATACACTGGGAGAACATGCAAACTGCACATAGAAAGGCCCTGTGTGGTGGTGGAGTTGAACCCAGTGCTAATCACCGTCCATGATGATGACAGTATTTTCTTACTTCTATTATGCGCTTTCTGTTGTTCAAACTATATTCATGTTATTTATGGCGAAGAAAGTAAGGTACCGCAGTTATTGGTCTCGCACAAATCATTTAATATTTGTTTCAGGGAGAAAAAAACTCTTCACAGAACGTCCCGTGCAGCAAGAGCCAGAGACGCGAAACCAGCCACTTTCCTGCTGTGTGTATAGCACTCTCGCCTCTCAGCAAGAAGGTCCTTTGTTCGAATCCTGGTCGGAACAGGGTCTTTCTGAGTGGAGTTTGCATGTTCTCCCTGTGCCTGTGTAGGTTTCCTCCAGGTACTCCGGTTTCCCCTACCACTGAAAACATGCACACTAGGTTAAATCCTCCAGCTTTGGTAGTCCTGACCAAGCCGAGCATCAACATCTGGAGATGGGTTCCCGGGCGCTGTTACTTCGGCGACCACTGCTCATGATGAAAGCCTTCGCGGCATCAGGATGGGTCAAATGCAGAGGATTGAATTGCCGTACGGGGATTAATAAAGTGCACCTTTACCTTAAATAGAAAGAATGACCTCTATAGTTTTGGATAGTTTTGCTCTAACTTTGCGATCTTCAGACTTCTCTCGTCTTGCCTGTCACCTGCTTCTGTTTTTCAGTTTTGAAGTGTTGCACCTTGTTAGCAGATTGTATTTTTTGCTTTGAGACTGAAGGTGTCAGACGCTGCTTTTGGTCCTGACCAGACTCCGCTCCTCCCTCTTGATAGGGCTGTAGGCCTGTGTCAGTCAACAGAAACTCCAAACAACACAGTCTGTGGAACAAACTCTTTGGATGAACTCAAAGAACTACAGTATATGAGCCTTTGCATGTCATTGAACAGGACAGTACAAACCAAGCATTCGTTCAAAGACATCCATGTTGACATTCATTATAATATAGTTGGGATACAAATGGGATTGTATCAAAATGTGCTTCCACTTTATTAAGAACAATAGAAAATAGCCTGTTTTAAATTATCCAAGGAACCTTTTGAGATCCCTATTTTAAATGAATGACCAAACATGCTCCCCATCAGCTTAAGCAAGTTCAATACACAATCAAACTTTCTCCAATTCCCACCCTCATTTCAGAAGATAATCTTGTCTACTCACTCATTCGGCTAAAATGAAATGCAAATTGTATAAGAAATATATGCATCTGTAAGTTGGCTTGGTAATTTTGGAAAATGAATGGGAGACTGGGAGACTCTCCGAGGATATGAATAAAACAGATGCTAGTTAAATGTGTAATTTGTGACTACAATATTGCATTTGCACTGACGACGGGGGGGATAATCCCTTGTGAACTCTCCAAACAGACGCGCTGCTGTGTAAATAGGAACAGTTTAGTTTGGGTCTGATCTTACACAGTGTCCCCTTTATTCATTTACTATCTTGTCTTAACTTGAATTCATGAATTTGGATGAAAATGTTAATCCATGACTATTTAGCAACTACAGTAAAATAGTCTCATTTTAAAGGGACATAGGAGTTGTTACTACTTCCGGGTAGATCATCAACACTGTTGGTCCTCCCTATTGTCAGTCATTCTGGTGATACGTGTTTGTCAAATAAGATCAGAGTTTGGTTTAAAACAGAGAGGGTTGTGCGAAAATCCTCCTATATACTTCTAAGATCAAAGTTTGTATCTAATGGCTTTCATAGGGACCTAAAAAGGAGCTAAAAATGTCAATCTTTGTAATTTATATTCTGCCACAGTACATCTTTACCCTTGTAAGCAAATACCTTGCCGTAGGTTTAGTTTTACATTTCATCTCATATTTTTGCCGCCTCAATCTCATTCATACGTCTGGAGCTTTCCGTCAGATGAAGGTTTAATATTAATGGAAACAGAATGGAGCTGGTTACAGGACTATTGTTAAAAGTGTAGCCGTCAATGCGACTCCGGTTTCCCCATTACAATAAAAGCAGCTCACCTCTGGGCGAGTGGCCAGTGAAATGATTGAATCTCTTTCATGTTAGACCCGGGCTATGGGTGCCTTTGTGTGGGGTCGTAATCAATCCAGATACTTTTCAATTAAACGTCTAGACAGTGTGGTAAAGCTATGAATTTCGAGTGAATATTAGCCTGCTAAAAGCTCGGAAAACCAGGCCAACTTTACAAGACTGTTGTTTAATTGCTTGTAAGACAAAACATTTCGGTTGCAGCGTTGTAATGTTGGTGCAATCACAGCGCGCTCCGAGGACTTTATATCACTTGTGAATGGTGTTTAGTGGGAGATTAAAACCGCACTGTGTTCCTATCAGGGTGAATTGTTTTGTCTCTGGGGACGAATCACACTGACGTCCGCACCGCCTCTATCGCAGCTTTATCTCACACTACATTTGGAGCACATTTCACAGCTTGAGGCGCTGTCGGGAGGAGGGATTGTCAGGGAAAAAAGCCCTGATTGCATGACGTCTCCAGCCTGAGCACAAAAATGCATTTGTGTGTTTCCTCTGTCTGGAGTTGTTTATCCATGCCAAATCCCTCCAACAATATTGTGTTATTGTTGTTTTGAGGGAACAAGAAGTCTACTCCCACTCATGGTCCAGACTTGGTCCACCAGAGAAGTCTAGTTTTTTTGTGTGGCACGGTGGCAGAGTGGTTAGCACTCTCGAATCTCGAATCTTGGTTGATACAGGGCCTTACAGTGGAGTTTTCTACTTGTGTTTGTGGAGGTTTCCTGCAGGTGCTCCGGTTTCCTTTACCACTAAAAAACATGTAGAATATGTGTGAATGTAATGAGAGTGTGAATGGATGGTGTTGGTTGAGGGCTTTGATGCGCCAGTGTGTTCTGTCATCACCGAGTGGAGTTATTGGAACAATATCTGAACTCTGAACATTCTGTAAAACTTGTGCTATATAATTAAAGATTACTTATTTACTATAAGGGGTTCTGAGATCCTGCGTCTTTTTTGATGAATGTTTTACTTAAATCCCTTCACAGATCACAAAGGAAAGAGAAACTTGAATCTGTTCAGACTTATCATTTGCACAACCCTGGGACTAAAGTATTTACACTCATGTCATTGAACTCATATGGTTTTAAATATCAACATTTGAAAAAGAACCATTGTTATATTACTTTTGTATCTTGACTTAGTTTCATCCCATATTGATATTCCATCCATCCATTTTCAGGGCCAGGCTACACTCCCTCAGGTGGCTCCTTTCAACATGAAGGAACAACAATTCTACTCCGAGCTTTACTTTTCGATTCAGCCCGTTGACATGGCCCTGGGTTTCTCTTCATAAGAATCGTTTCATGGCGCACTTTATTTAATAAGTAAAATCTATTAAAGTCCATAACATATCAGGACGATGCTCTACACAGCCATTCTGCTTATTTATACCTATGCAAAGGAGTTGCCATAGTAACAATAGTGGATTGGGCTGTAGGGTATATCACGTAATTTGCAAAGAATCATATGCCTAATTCTTAAGGAAGATAGTTGAAGTTTAGTCTCCCTGAACTAGCAGGAGTATTTTGTAGTTAAAACAGATTAAAACTTGCTGGACAAGTTTTAATCTGTTATAATAATACTTTTACTTAATTTGTTCTCCTCCAAAACATTTATTTTGTGTTGCCTCATTTGCTCTACCTCCCTCCCATTCCCTCCACCCGGTTCTGTGTCATTAAAAGTGAAATCTAATAAGAGCGATGGCTTCAGTTTAATGCGCAGGTATTGGATATTTGCCGGAACAGAAAACAGCAGTGATATTCTATAAAACATGTTCTGGGAAGTGCGGCTCAGGGCCACGTCTGACCTTGTGCTTCAGTCTGTGGGGAAAGTTGAGCAAAGTCAAAAGGCAGCAAGAATAACTCTGAAGTACACAACATGCATATACTGTACATAACAATGGGCTGGGTAAAAAAAAATGTGTACAATGTTTTGTGATTATTTTTTCAGAAAACATTTATTTTCCATTTTGAAAGATTCTCTCACAATAACAAATTATGACACTTATACTGTATTTTTCCCAATTGAGCAGTATAAGGTAGAGCTCAACTTCTGCAATGTGAAATAGACCATTGACTGAATTGGAGAATAATACACAGTATGCGAGACTCTACCTTACTATTGGGAAACTAGATCATGTTACGACAAAGTAAGAATATTCTTATGAGATATAGAATAGTGAAAATGTATATTCTCCTCCGACAGGAGTGTCATGGTAAACGCAAGGCCAGTTTGTTTGTATAGCACAGTTCACACACCAGGCAACAACTACAAAGTACTTAAAGCCTAGCGTACATCGGACTGGCAACTGATTATATCCGTGGCATATGAGTTGCTGCCCCGCACACATCGACAATCTGGCAAAAACGGGCAACTCCCAGTCGCAGACCAGTCTCGGGAATAACGGTGCGTACAACGACAGCAACTGGCCTCAACTACAGTGTGTTTTCTGACATAAACTGTAGAGGGCGCAATACACACACGTTGTCGGAGCGGCGCATGGAGCGCGCACATCGGGTCATATCTCCGCACATCGACCGATTTCGGCAACTGATCATCTCCATCATCTCCTCTCAGTTGCCAAAAGCCGCCTTGCAACTAGTTGTCCCCAGTTTCTCTGTCGATGTACGCTAGGCTTAAGGGAACAGAAAAAGACATTCAAATCACAAGTTTATTTCATTCATTTAAATAATAAATCACAAAACATTCAAAACAGTGAAGATACAATACTTCAGTTGTATGCACAGATAAACAGAAATGTTTTTAACCTGTATTAGTATATTGTCAGACCTTTAACCTGTAATTGTATGTTGTCATTGTATATTGTTGCAGTAGCAGGAGGCAGTAGGGTAAAACGAACCTTTCTCACAACGTTCTAATCACAGACCTGTTATTGCTCAATCTCGTGGAGCTGAACACCCCTTTTCCCTCTAAGAAGTTGGACGCCGACCGCACAGGGCCGCGTAACTAGTTAGCATGCCGGAGTCTCGTTCGTTATCGGAATTAACCAGACAAACGCTCCACCAACTAAGAACGGCCATACACCACCACCCTGTCTCACATTTCCAGGAAGACTGTCCCAGATTTTAGCTGCATGAATCTGAGATGCTGCCTCCTCATGTTTAGTCCACGAGCCGAGTTAATTAAAGTCTATAGTCTGTGACCTGAGTATGATAAAGACTGCCCCATTACTCTGCATTGTCCTGAAAGTGTAAATAAAACCGTAAAACTTGTTAGCTGCAAATATTGCTTTAGTCGTTTTTAAAATCAATGTAAAGTCAGAAAATTGTTGAATGCCTATATGTTAAAACTTGGCTGAAAAATGTGAAATATTTCTGAATTGTAGCTTTGTTGTGATTTTTGTTCATGGTTCATGTGTTAATGACTGAATTCATCTTCATCAACTGCGGGTAATTAAAACTGTCAAAAACGTCAATGTCTCCGTCAGTAAAAATAAACAAATGGATAATGTCTTTCTACAATTATCTTCAAAGAGTGATGCTATAAAAATCCAAACGGCAGCGTTGCTTTTTAGTCATTTCTTATCATTGCAAATTATTTCATATCGTCTAAAACTAAAATGATTTTTTTGTAAAAAATCAAATGTGAAAGTAAACCGTCTCAAGATCATGTTTACGAACAGACCTAATACAAACACTGTTTTGTAATTAATAAATATTACATACTTGTTTGCACCGAGAGCCGAAGCAATTTCTTATTTTGTGACTTTGTGTTTCTCACACACAATAAAAGGTGATTCTGAAATAATATTATATACAAATGTTGCTTCAGTTCTGCAAAGTCCTGCTTATACCATCTTGAATCCAGCCCAATTACTGTCAAGATCTTTACCAAATGCTGTTATTTTGAACACACTTTGTTATTTAGTTTTCTATTTTCCCCAACACTTGTGTGAAGTGTTTCTGTGATTACTCAAGTATCGACCGGTCGGACAGAAAATGATAATCAATTGGTTGTGGCACCTTGAGGTAACGCACACATTAAGCACTGCCCCTGTGGATGATTGAATTAAAGTCTGTTATTAAGATGATAATGAGAATGTGAAAGCAAACATTAGGCTGTGATTACCACTCTCATCAACAAGTATTATTTAGCTAAGTGTAAAACAGTGTATTAAATGTGCGGGCTGATCAGGAAAAGAGTATTGGTAAATTAACCAGCGGCTCTGTTTCTCACCGCTGCATTTCTGTGTCAGTCTGTTTTCTGCGAATAATTCATTAGCAGACGGTTCAGTCATGCAGACCTCGCGATGGCAGCAGCAGAAGACATGAGAAGTTGTCCGACAGTAATTAAAGAGCTAATGTGGCCTTCTGCCGCTGACCTCCCGAGAGTGTTTAACAGGACTTAAAGTCGGATTCATCAAATGGCTCGTGCACTAAAGTGGTAATAGTACACTTTGAGACTAAGACTTATGTATTTCTGACTTTGTTTTTAAAGATAATGATGTTTTTATTTGAGTGATTGGACAGATTTGGGCACTATCACTTAATTTATACTTATTCATTTGGGATATTCTTCGGATGATAATGCATAGAACAGTACGTAGCACTTTTCAAAAGAGAAGATGAGAGATCCTTCATTTATTCCACAGAGGGGAAATTTCAGTGTTGCAGCGCACATACAGCACATTAGTAAGTGCACACAGGGAGCACACAAAATGTACATTAAAAGTAGCTGCTATGCTTCTTAGTTGTTAATGCTGCTATATCAATACATCTATATATGTATTTATTTATTTATTTATATAATGCAGTTATATACATATAGGGCAGGATATTAAGTTGATAAAGTGACATTCTGTGGACATTCTGAAATGCAGTATTGCATATGATGGTGTTATTTAGATGAATGACATGTACAGGCTCAGCAGTTCTGTCTGAGCCTGTACATGTCTGACCACAACAGGAAGATCCCCATCTCCCATCACGTACTAACAGATCCTGCCTTGCTTAACTTCTATGATCTGATGGGGTCAGGCTTTTACGTGGTGATAAGAAGATAAGATAGGACTTTATTGATCTCAAACAGGAGAAATGTACATGTCACATCTGGCATGGATAGAATCACTCAAGAACAATAACAATATAAATGTATTTTACAATAGAGCCTAATGTAACCTTGGATTGCACTTTTTTGCATCTTGCCACTGTGTATTAATCCAACATTTGTATTTGGTTAAAAAGTGGTAGATTACAATTAAACATGTTGTACATGTGTTTTTTTTATTTCATCGTTTGGACATGTTTGGACAGGCCATTGTAGACATGGTTAGGATTTGAACCCAAAACACAGGTGGTAATAGTGTCCTAATTATGGGCAAGGGAACACCATATTCATCTTTAATACTGGCTATTCATTGTATTTGAGCACAATCCAAGAAAGTGCACGGAGACTCAGGTTTGGACAGAACATTCGAGGGTCTATAATCAAATGTGAAGCGCACTTGACAATGTTCAATGTGCTTTTGGAGAAGTCACTGCTTCTGTAAAATGCCAGACTGAACAAGAACCAAGAAACAGTATCGTTATCATGTCTATCCCCATGACGACCAGTGACTCCCACTATGACCCGATCATGTGACCCAGACAATGTTGAGCCGCTCCGAATAGAGATCACTCAGGGGCAAACACTTCAGCAGACATGTGGATAATGAGAGGAGATTGTCTGTGCAGCTATGAAAACCTATTCTTCTTTTTCAAAATAGACCCCATCAAACTGGGATTTATGGGTTTACTTCCTGATTACAATAAGATCCAAATAAATTAGTTGGTTGTTTATATTGCGGACAAACATTTGAGAGAAATTAAGTACCATCATTTAGTTTGACTTTTTTATATACTTTATTGCAAACTGCTTCTTGATAGTGTATGACTGTTTAAAATGTACAAAAAAATAAAAAACAAGTATTTTTTTTTTTATCTCGATCCTCTTTGTGATCTCTGTGTAGGTTTTTATTACAAATCTTACGGTCAGATGTCAAATTCTTCAATTTACTATAGCATGTGTAGAGTTTCTCTTATAAGCAATCGACTCATTAGAGTGAAATGTGTTACTTTCTAAGATATACTGCAGGAGGATTGTCTACTTCCGGGTGGATCATCAAGACTGTGGGTCCTCCCAATTGTCAATTTTCTGGTGATAGGTGCTCGTCAAATAAGACCAGAGAGTTTTGTTCAATAAATGGAGACATTTCTTTCCTTAAATTTCTCCTCTATCCTCCTCTGTACCTTTACGTATGTTCTGTATACACACTTTATTTTAGGTTTGTGTTCGCTCAAATCAACATATTGTACCATTGTCAAGCACATAATGGTTAAATCAAGTGTTTGCTTTTTCACAATACTCCAAATGAAAAAAAGGATTCTGATTCTGATGATCATTTCCTCCTCTTATCTCTCTTGACAGTGGGACGCCATCACGGAGATGGACGAGCACAACCGGCCCATCCACACCTTCCAGGTCTGCAACGTGATGGAGCCCAACCAGAACAACTGGCTCCGCTCCAACTGGATCCCGCGTCAGGCCGCGCAGAAAATCTACGTGGAGCTGCGGTTCACGCTTCGCGACTGCAACTCCATCCCCTGGGTGTCCGGCACCTGCAAAGAAACCTTCAACCTCTTCTACCACGAGACCGAGGAAGTCCACAACGTCAAATTCAAATCCACGCAATACACCAAGATCGACACCATCGCGGCGGACGAGAGCTTCACGCAGATGGATTTGGGAGACCGCATCCTGAAGCTGAACACGGAGGTGCGCGAAGTGGGGCCCATGACCAAAAAGGGTTTCTATCTGGCGTTTCAGGACATAGGCGCGTGCATCGCTCTGGTGTCGGTTCGAGTTTACTACAAGAAATGTCCCTTCACGCTGAGGAACTTGGCTTCGTTCCCGGACACGGTGCCTCGGGGAGACTCGTCGTCGCTGGTGGAGGTGCGGGGCGCGTGCATAGACCACGCAGAGGAGCGGGACACGCCAAAGCTGTTCTGCGGCGCCGACGGGGACTGGCTGGTGCCGCTGGGGAAGTGCGTCTGCAGCGCGGGACATGAGGAGATGGACGGGGCCTGCATGGGTGAGTCCTGTTTCTGCAACACGATCTGTGCATCCGTTTTGGAAAGAACAAGACAGACCTCAAAACACAGCTGGGGTTCTCAACTGTCTTGTTTTATAAATGACACTACGGAATGAGCAAAAGCAATAATTCCTACCTCAACATACTCTAAAAAAAGAGCCTTGCAAGTCACTTTTTGACTCTGTGGGCTGAAAGCTATGAGCTGAGTAAAGGTGGTCCTTTCTTTATCCCATTTTTGAGGCCAAAAATGCATGGGTGTGAAAACTGGTGATAGATAAGATGAGATAAACCTTTGTTAGTCTCACAGTGGAGACATTTCAGAACCAAACTGTTTTGAGAGGATTAGTTACATGTAATTGAATATATTTTTATCGGATGGACTTTGTTCCACTTTGTGATTTGAAAGTTGGGTACCAGGGAGAGTTTGATATGTTATTAAATGAAACTATTAACATTGAAAGAACTTCAAAGAAATGGCCACCACAACTCATTAATCCTAAATCCATATTATGGCTAAGAAAGCTTTTACAAATAGTAATAAAGTAATAAAAACACATTTTTTCACCAATTTTCCTTTTACAGTTGCACTTTAGTCACACTTTGCTTTGACCAGATATTGATTAGTTATTTATAAAACTGTCAGACTATCACTGATAGTTTGAAAAATAAACATGTTTGTAAATATATGGATGTTGGTCATGTTTAAGAATATAAAAATTTAAAAGGGGGTATCTCTCCAATAAACTTTCTGCTAGACGGTTGCTCGACTATAAAAGGTAAAATATTGATATTGTTGGAATGAGTATTGAGTATTGTTACTATGTTTGTACATCAATTGAATCAAGCACACACTTTACAATCCTACTTCAAAATCAACCGTTCATGTTTATTGTAGAAGGTGTCGGGGATCCTTTGGTGCAGTGACCTTTGATGCAGTCTCAAACTCTCCCTAACTCCTCATCGATCGGCCGCTTTCCCACACGCCGCCTTCACATGAACCTATTCACAAAAATGATGATGTGCTTTTGTGCAAACCGAGCACCACTTCCATTACATATCTTTCGTTAATGTTTCTCCCTTATAATTTTGCTCCTCACTCTCCCATATTACCGACAGTGTAACTATCCAAGTGTAAAATTGGATAAGAGTTTGTGGCTATAATAAGCATATAATTTACAAACACTGCTAAAGAGTGGAGTTTTGAGAATACTTTTTGGTTGGGCAGAGTTTGGTCCTGTTGACTGTTGGGAGTTAGATTGTGTGACGTGTGCGGGTCCATGCTGGATATGACGGATTACCTGAGTGAGTTTGATCGTTCTGATCTAAAGAGCGGATCAGTGCAGGCAGGAACTCGCAGCAGGGAATCTGTTGGACCAGCGGCACGCCATCATCACGGTCCAGTGAAAGTTTTCTGTAATACACACAGTGGTTTGGCAGAGGCACCACCCGGGCGGGACATGCACACCCTGCCGCACCGGGCTGCACCGGGCAAGGACAATGCATTCATAATTGACTCAACAGTAAACATTGACTGTAATGTCTCGATATGTTGCACCATTTTTTTTTTTCTCACAGGGAAAAATAGGACCCATACAGGCGTTTATCAAGATCTCAAGATTCATGTATTATGGGGAAATGTACACATAAAGTTTATTTGTACAGCACAATTCATACACAAGGCAACTCAAAGTGCTGAACAAAATAAGTTAACATTAAAGTCATAAATAATCACAGTGCAAGATAAATATAAAATCCCTCAGTTGTATGCACAGCTAAACAGAACTGTTTTTAACCTGGTTTTAAACATTGTCAGAGAGGAGGCCTGTCTCACATCTTCAGGAAGATTGTTCCAGATTTTAGCAGCATGAATCTGAAAAGCAGCCTCCCCATGTTTAGTTCTGACTCTGGGCACTTCTGAGTTCAGAGTCCGGGCTGGTTCATATGGGACTAACATGTCACTAATACATTTTGGTGCGAGGCCATGGAGAGACTTGTAACAAGCAGACATAGAAAACAATACAAAAAGTATATCAAGATTAATGGATCTTTGATTTGTTATAAAGTGGGGATAAATAAAAATAAAAATAATAAAAATAACATAGCATAATGAAGAAGCAAGAATTTGATACATTTCTGACTTTTGCATAATAAAGAAAAGTATAAAACCTCTAACTTTAGCATAATAATTTAAAGCAAGGATAAAATATTAAAGTAGATGTTATAAATACATTGTACTGGCATAACATTCTACTTATTTCTCAGTTTTAGGAGTTAAAAGAGTTTACCTATTTAGTCCACACTAGAGACAAGTCATCGATACTTGAAATAAGTACTTGTATATTTGTTTTTTGATTAATATTGATGTGTCTGTATCTAACTTTAGTTTATCTATGTTTTTGCTTGTTTATATAAATCCGCATATACAGTATACACTAGATTAGCTGAAAGCAGGGACACCAGCTCGTCTTCCATTCATTAAATTCCATTTATATTCATCCTGATGTACTGTTTACTTTAGAGTTGTGAATAAAATCTCTACATTTACTAAATCAAGAATTGAAAACCAGCCACAGGGGGTTGATCGCTGAGAGAACTGGGCAATAAACAAATAATGCCTCTGTGAACCAGCACCATAATAAAGAGAATAAACATGGATTTATGGATGGACAGACAACATATAATCAATAGATTTAAAACCATTGAATAAAGTTGTCATGGTTTATTCTGGTTTTATTTTATTATTTCCATGTGTATCACCTTGTACTTATTTTGTACATTTCTCTATTATGAGATCAAGAAATCTTATCTTATCTCATCTTAGTTATTCTGTTTTCATACTGTAATCCGTGTTAGTTAGTAGTTCTCACTCCCTGTTCCATCATTGTCTTTCCAACACCTCTTTTGTACATTCACTCTAGAGTTTGCTCTCATTAAATCACTTTTGCTTTCATTTTGGTTCCTTCTTCTTGTTTTTCCCCCGTGACAAAAGTTCTCAAAATGTCTAAGGTTTATGACATTTTATATTCAACCCCAAAACCCCGTCCTACATCCATTCTGCTGACATGATCGACGTCTAGTGCTCATGTCCTCTCCCTTAATGCTGGCTGCACTGGTCTGTGAAGCTGCGGAGTATTGTTGAGAAGCAGATGCCCGTGCAGCTGATTACAGTGGGAGAAAGTGAGCCGCGGCCCAGCTGCAGAACCAGCTGCAGCGTAATCAGTGCCAAAACTGCAGCCGTGATTACAGCCGCACTAATCAGCCGCTCGTGGGACAGGTGAAATTTATTCTGTACGTTCAGCTTGTCTTTGATATAGATTGTGTTGCATCCAGCGGCCACAGAGGAGCTGGTAGGGAGGGGAATCGTTTGTGGTTGTTTTTGAATTCTAGTCCAGTCTAGTCCCGGTTGGTTGCATCACTTTGGTCTAGTTAGTGTTTTAGACTTTTTCTTTTTTTCCTCATGGGTTGAAGTTATGGGCTCCGGAAGTGATGAGCCATGGTTCTTCCTGAGTTTTCTCACTTATTTTTACTGGGTTGTAAAATGTGCTATTGTCTAAAAAAGACGGACGTGTCTCAGATTTGATAAAGAGAAATGAGAAGAAAGATTTCAGAGGTCAACAGTATTTAATTATCTTTATGATCAAATACAAATCTCTGAGCTCATATTCTGTCTCTATCCTATTCCTGTTCTCTCCCTATTCAAATGACGAACATTATCACATATCGCAGAAGTAAAATGTGCAGAAGAGGGTGTGGCTTCGTCAGTCCAGTCCAGTTCTGGGCCTGGTCCAAGTCTTGAACTTTGGCCCTGGTCTGAGACTCAGTCTATTTTGCCACATCGTCACTTTTCTGAAAACATATTGGAGAAACAGTAAGCTATAAGTTCCCTATTTTGTCTACTGTCATCAATTTAACACTTGACAGCTGGTCAATAAAATCCCCATATCTGTGTCAAGCCCAAAAACATATCAAACGACAATGTAATAGTTAGTACATAAAATCACTGATGATAAATGGTGATTTATAGTATTGTATTGTATGCAACAGTTTACCTTGCTGATACAGGAGGGTCTAACAAAAAGGACTGTAGAAATTCTCTGAAATGTGTATCTTCTGATATAACTATTGTTGTAATGTAGGGCTATGCAAGAAACACATTGACAGTAGTGCTTGAATGTTTATACACAAAAGCAGACATTTTGACCGGAAAGAAATGCCGTATTCTGGAGATTATGAACAATTTCCCAAAATATTGTTTGGTTATTTCACTGGTCAAATCTTTTTTACTTTTTTACTTTTTCCTAATGACAACAGGAACTACTATAATAATGACCCCAATTAGAAGTGTCCATCCCCTCGACAGCATGTATCACCCTCTTTCCTAGTATTATCCAGTCTTGGGTAAAAATCCTCCTGTTCCTGTAGATTCCAGGGCTGCCTTGCATGACCAGCACGTTTTACCTCTCCACAGAAAACCCTTTTGATTTAACAATACTTTCTGCTAACATTCAGGATCTCCAAATGATGGCCAAAACATTAACACCTTTGTATGAATAAAAAAACAATGTTACAGTAGGTAATTTGAAGAAATGAGAACTCCAGGCATGTTGTTTAAACTTTATGCTACTCTATAATTGATTGAAATACACTAAGTATCATCATCAAACCTGCATTTAGTCTTGCTTAGTTTTTTTATGTTATTGCAAATCCTGACGCCCAACCATTTTATTTACAAGCTTGTTTAGGCACAATTCTGACGGGTCGCTACGTTATTGTAAGATGAGTGCAATCAAAATATAAAAAAAGTGTTGTCCATACCGCACTCCCTTCACTAGATGCAAATATGTATAATTCCAGAGAGCCGCTGGGGCAAAGCTGCAGTGTATTTTTCAACACTTTTAGTTACAGCTGGGCCCTTACACCACAGATGTTTTATTATAAAGCAAATGAGTGGCAAAAGATGTAGTATTTAAAAGTTCTTCTGTTCCCTCTCATAATCCAGAACTTTTATGTCGGACAAGCCCAAAGTCTGGCCTGCGGTCCAGTCGTTGCACCTGGTCAGATTTCTTTAGCTCTTGAGAGATAACACATATTGGATTTTGCCTTCCAGCTGCGTCGGTACCACAGATCCGACTTTACATTTCCTCACATCACAATGTCCTCGAGTGATATATGGCCATGTGCAATTAAATAAATGCTAAGCTATTTGATACTGTGGATATGTACATGATATTCGTGCTGGTGAATGGTTATCCTGCTTTAGAAAAATGTCTATTCTGTGTGGGTAACTTTTACTTTGGTTTAAAGAATAATACTCTTTGTTCAGAATTAGAGTTTCTACCTCACATGACCTCTGAATTCAGTGAAGAGTCGAACAATCACTATGTTTTTGACTATATACTATACTTGCGCCGCACTCATCCAAAGGAAAGCTTTCTATTTGAAGTTTGAAAACGCCTCTTTGCATTCGCAGAATAGAGACGGAACGGTTCACTCTCCTTCCTCTGAAAGGCCTGCTTTGATTTTCTGTGGCTCACAAGTTATTCAGGTCCAAATGGCTCGCACTTCTGGCTTCAGATGCCATTTTTTACACCGCAAAAGTATTAAAGTATATTCTACATCATAGAAACTAGATGGTGTATGGGAAAACATGCATCTTGTTTTTTCCTCTGAAACAGTGTTTCCAGTGTTGGTACATTTTGGTCATTCTTCTGTCATATAATATTTCACCCCCTTTTTATTATTCAATATCTGGGTTGGGGGGGTGGCAATAAGAGCTGCCACCTAAATCTGGTCTTGGCCTTGCTGTTTCAGGGCAATGTGGGGTTAAAGGTCTTGCCCAGGGACACAACAAAAGCAGACTTCAGTGGGTGCAGATGAGCTGAACCTACAACCCCCCTTTCTTCTGCATTAAATTATAGTCTAGCGGTTCTGCATTCAGAGTTTTTTTTTTTTGTATTTTGTGAATATATTTTGCAAATTGAACAGAATTCAATGTACAATGTAGAATAATCTCCTTTTTTGCTCTTCTAAGTAATTGCTTTAGCATTTTGTCTTTTGTCTGTATTTCACACACAAGCCAAACTAATGAAAACTAATGAAAGTTTAGCGTACAATAGCTTTTGTACATTGTGGAAAGAATGCAAGTCAAACTATTTTGTGAACAATTACCATTACATTATTTTAAGGCAGATCGCCACCTTCCAGAGTGTATTCAGTTCAGCTGGAATAAGACCTGTTACTTTCATTTGTTCAAAAAACAAAAGGCCGACATGAAGACGTGTTCCATCACTAATGCTAAATCCAACGTGATAAAAATGGACCAAATTGAACCAGTTTAATCTTGTTTCAAGTTTCTAAATCTTGTTTAGATTTTTTTAAGCCCATTTACTGATGTTAGTTACCTG